TTCTGTACTGCTTAGTTCTTTGGTGTTCCTGACCCAGAAATTGTTAAACCCATTGGGCCACCATAGCAGCCAGGTAAATAGCATGTTCAGATTAAGGTCGCCAATGCCAGCCTTCATATTCCTCTATGTAAAGGTTCCCTAGTTTCTGGAATGAAATGGTTGCACACATCACCCTTCATTGATTAAATACCATTGTAAAACACACAGAGCAGGGAAAATATGACAAATACCATTGTAAATGACACGACTTCTCATGGCCTTACAGATACAACACTGCTGTTATGTGCGTTTTTACATAAAGCTGTAGAATACACATTTTTAACATAAAAGAAAATGAATCCTGCCCAAATAAATGGCATGTCATTGATCGGAAGCTTGTTTCAATATTTATGTTCTGACATTAAATTTAATTGCATGTTTTATGACGCTGCTGTAAAGGTTTGTGAGTCTCAAAAAACACACACACCAAAAATAACCTTGAAAGTGACGACAGATGTGCCCATTTATGTGTGTAAATAAAAGCGGGGTTTATTGCGGCCTTGGACGGAGATGTGTGCTGTGTGTGCTGCCTTTGGTGCTTTTATTAAGTACATAAAGATCAACTCAAGGAAATTATTATTATTATACAGTTTTTATATAGCGCCAACTGTTTGCTCAGCGCTGTACATTATAGTGGGGGACAGTACATGAGACAGTACAATAACAATACAATGCGATACACGAGGGGTTCGAGGGCCCTGCTCCTTGGAGCTTACAATCTAGGAGGGAGGGGATAGTGGTATGGGAGGAAAAGCTGTGGGGGATGGAGTGGTAGGAAGAGTGGAGGAGACCGACAATTAGCAGAGGGCGGGGTAGGCTTCCCTGAAGAGGTGGGTTTTCAGGGTGCGCGTAAAGGAGAGGAGAGTAGGTGATAGCCTGATGGATTGGGGTAGGGAGTTCCAGAGGATGGGTGATGAATTGGAGAAGTCCTGGTGGTGGACATGGGAGGACGAGACTAGGGAACTAGAGAGAAGGAGGTCTTGTGAGGAGCGGAGGGTGCGTTTTGGGTGGTATCTGGATATTAGGTCGGTGATGTAGTTTGGAGCAGAGTTATGGACAGCTTTGTACGTCAGTGTTAGCATTTTGAATTTGATCCGTCGGGCAATCGGAAGCCAGTGGAGTAAATGGCAGAGGGGGGTGGCGGAAACGGAGCGGTTGGTAAGGTGGAGGCAGGCCAGTGAGGAGGGAGTTGTAGTAATCGAGTCGTGATATGATGAGGGAGTGGATGAGTTGCTTAGTAGTTTCTGGAGTTAGGAATGGGCGTATTTTGGAGATGTTGTGGAGGTGGAGTCTGCATGAGTTTGTTAGCGATTGCACTTGGGGCTGGAAGGATAGATTGGAGTCAAGAATGGCACCAAGTACTCTGGCTTGCGGGGTGGGCCTGATGGTGGCATTGTTGGATGTGATGGAGAAGTCAGTGGGAGGGGGGGAAGACTAGGAGCAATGGAATTAGTAAAATGAATCTGTGATCATCTAATGCCAACCATGAAAAGTCAGAAAGTGTGCTAATCTCACCTTGAGTTCTATGTTATCCATTGTAGCCAGTATACTTTTTATATTATACCTGTAGCCTCCTGGCATGATAGGCTTCTGGGTGATTTCTGTACCCTCGCTCTCCAACGGTGGTGCTTGGAATCAGTGCCATTTTAAAAAAAAAGTAGACATTGGCAACCAGTGGGTCAGGCAGCTACAGAGCTTGAGTGATTGGATGAAAGTTGGAGGACTATGTTTCCTGGGTGACCTTAAATGCAAACTGTGATGGACCTGTGCTGTGACCTGCTATGGTGTGGAAAGAGCTTTATATCCCCCAGAGTTTTCATCCAGGCAGGGTAAGGGTCTCCAGGATGCTTGTCTCACATGTAGGAAACTGGATTTTCCAATTCCTCTGCGGTTTGTAAAACCCGGTTTGGGGCTTGGAGTCTGGAGGCTTCATGAAGACTTGGGAGTTATGAAGATTCCAATCTTGGATTCAGGCTTTGTGAGTAAGCAGCACACTAATTAGGCAGGTGTGTGCAGGGCTTTTATTAGAGACCTGACTATGGTTCAGGGTTCCACCATGGTGGACAGAAGAGGTTTCTGCCCAGGAGTCTGGGGGGCTCCAACTAGGAGACAGATTGGAGCCACTGCAGAAGAAGCTGCAAGGTGTATGAGTTTGTGTGAGAAGACTATCTGTAAGAAATGGCCAAGGTCCCAAAGTGATGTCTTGAACTTTGCTTTATTAAAAAATGAGCAGGAAAATCCCTTAAAAAGAAGATTTAAGTGAGTGGTTGTTTCCTCAATACTCTGCTGTTTGAAGCTGGTTCCCAAGATATATAAACCAACTTAGAGTGGAACTATACTGCATCTGAGCACCACAAATCAAAAACTTTATTTAATTCATTTTTAATATTCAAAGCAATTTCACCCATCCATATCTACATGCTGTATTTTGCGGAGAAATCACTTTGAAAACCATCCCCCCTAGCATTTCTGACAGTGGCCATCTTAAGTAAGTGTAGCACCCTCCTAGTTTAGCTAGGGGGAGCTAGACTCCATTGGTTAGACAGGGGCTGAGCAGCAGCCCAGCTGAAATAGCCAGAGAGGGGTCAAATTGTCATCCGGGCTGAGAGGCTCTGCAGGCCAGTCCCTCTGGAATTTCATCCTTCTCCAGGGCTTTTAGAAAAAGGCTCTAGAGGCATTGGATGCTTTTGAAGAGTGACTGGCTGCACTCTTGAGGGGTCCTAGCCAATCCCCAACAAGAGGTTGACAAGGGGCTGGACACCCTTAAAAGTGTTGGAGCCTAATCAGTTGCAGGAGAGCTGAAGTGAGAGTTTGGGTGGCAGATGTGAGGCTGAGAGCAGGAGGCTGCGAGGTGGCCCAGTGGGTTGGGGCCTACCTGCAGGCCTGAAGCTGGAAAGGAGGAAATCTCGGAGCTCACCGGCCCCCTGAGAGAGGACCAGCTGATAGGCCTGGTAGCAGTCACCAACCCACAAATGGTATAGGAGAGGATCTGAGTAAGTACACCTACACCCCCTGGGCAGATAGTGAAAGGAGCACTGTGGTGGAAAACCAGTTTGACCACCTATCAGTGACTGTTTATCTCTTGGGGTGACAGGAACCGGATCCCCTCTTCAGGGATACCTCCAGATTGCTGAGTGAAGAGGAGAAGTTCATCTAGGGTCTGGGGTGGTATATTAAGGAGATGCTGGCTAGCTCTCCAACAGAGGCTGTGCTGCAGAGAGGCTTGTAAATAGTCCCATCATGTACACCCCTAACCCTATCCCAGTTAAAATCCCTCCATAAAACAACAAAACCAAAGTCCATAGAATATGGAAATCACATCCAAAGTGGCACTATATAATTGCACTAAAAAATGGAATGCAGTAGTGTGAAGTGAGCCTAAGGAGACACCGCAAAACAGTCTTTTGGTAAGGCCTGTGTACTGCAAAGGTGATGTAGACAAAACCAATGATAGGGCAGAAAAGAAAAGAGGAAACAATGATTTAATTTTTTTTTTCCTGGAAAGCAATGCCCTGTGTTATAAACACAGCAGGAACCATGACTGGGGACGGTCCCTACGGACTAGTCTGTAGGGTAATAAAGGGGTTAAGTGATAGCATAAGGGCAAGATGGTGAAGTGGCATGATTGGGATTGTGGTGGCAGATTATTGGTAGGAGGAAGAAAAAGGAGTTACGTTAGTTACGTCCCGTGACACACTGGTCACTCAGTTGGCGACCTTCCACAAAGAAAGAAGCCTCCACTCTCCCTCACCATTTTTTTTTTTGTTCCTGGGTTTTGTTGTTATGACTTTGCTTATGACATTAAAATAAAAAAAGTGTAGTTTTTTATTAACGGAAAATGAATACATAAATAAAAAATAATAACTGTATAATGTATATTTGTTGTCACGCTGTATTTTTTTTTTTATCACAGCTGCTGTTTATCCCTTTTGTGGGCTGAGATAGAATGTGGCTGGTAGAGGCAGTGGAATTGGTAACAGGGAGCCCAAGTAAAGCCAGCCATACATGGGTCGAATTCTGGAAGAAATTTCTTTCAAAAATCTTTTCTAAGACGTTTCGTTCAAATTTTGCACCATTAGTGGGTCACAGAAATGGACGATTTTCGTGTGACCATCGTATTTGAGTGAGCGGGCATGTTGGAAATTTTTTGAAAAATGAACTAATTTCGAATCAATGATGGGAGAATCGTGCAAGAAATATAAAGCTGTGACCTGGAAAGAAAAGAAAATTCTTGGCCATGAAAATTATTTTCTGTAGCAAGATAAGGAGAAATTGAAGGCTTGGTTGGTTGAATTTGGAAATCAATGGTGGAACCATCGCATTAGAAAACACACAAAATATCCGATTTTCTACAGAAAATTTGTTCGGAATTCAACCCATGTATGGCCTGCATAAGCCACTAAGCCTAACCTGGATGGCTGAGGGCTGATTTGGCTCCTGCTAAGGAAGACAAGTGGACATATGCCACTCAGCACTGCTACAAGGGATTTGGTGTTAGATATGTTTTATTGGTTGATTGTTAATTTATAGATATCAAGCTGTGGCCGATACTTAAATAATAAAGTATCAACGCAGTTAAAAGCATCTTTGTTGTCAGTGTGGTTATTTTAGTCAATCTCAGGGAAAAATGAACAGTGTACCAGTCATATCATTTTATTAGGGCACGGGTGTCAAACTGGTGGCCCTCCAGATGTTGCTAAACTACAAGTCCCATGAGGCATTGCAAGATTGACAGTTACAAGCATGACTCCCAAAGGCAGAGGCATGATGGGACTTGTAGTTTCACAACAGCTGGAAGGCCACCAGTTTGACACCCCTGGCCTAGAGGATGTATCCAATGCACCCTTGCTCATAATAACACTTTGTGTAGTTTATTGGAATTTTCCTCTAACACAAGCAGTCAATCAGGTATTCTACTAATAGCTACCAAAACTCACCCTTACTATATTATCGTTTTCCAGGTATTCCTTCCAGGATGAAGAGGACATGTTTATGGTTGTAGACCTACTCTTGGGCGGAGATCTTCGATATCATCTACAGCAAAATGTCCAGTTTACGGAGGAGACTGTTAAACTGTACATATGTGAAATGGCTCTAGCTTTAGACTACTTAAGAAGTCAACATATAATCCATCGGTAATGTGAGATGAGTTTTCCGAGTTTTAATAATATAATGCCAAAAGCAATTCTTGGCCGCAATCAATGTCACCTTATCAGAAATCAGCGCAGGATATTTGGCTTAGTGAAAACCGAATTCTGATTGGTTGCTGTTGTTTTTTTGCTTACCATTACTCTCTGGGCAGTGTGATGAAACAAGAGCCATGATGCTAACACTATTAACAGTATGTGTCGTATATATACTGTAACATAAGCAGGGCTTTTTTTCTCAGAGAGTAGATGTAGGAATTCCCCTCTTCTGAGTCACACCTGTCTCCTCCCGCTACCCACCTCTGAGCATCATCCCTTGGTTCCGACTCCTACCCACCTCCCAGTACTGCCCCTTTTATAGAATACAGAAATAAGTATCATATCGTTGTGCTAAGTCATTTGGAAAGATAAGGAATCAAATTGATCCCCTGCCAGCAACAATAGTTCCCCCAGCAACAATAGATCCCTAGCAACAAATCTCTAAACCCTCCAGCAGCCAGCAATAATAGACCCCCTCCCTCAACAGTAGAACCCTCCCAGCAACAAATGACCCCCCAGAAAGATAAGACCCCCTAGCAACAACAACAGATCCCCCACCAACAACAATAAACCCTCCACTAAAAAATAGATTCCCTCCAGCAATAATAGATCTCCTAGCAGCAAGAAGATCCTCTAGCACAGAAACTGATTTCTCCCATGTTTCCACTGAAAAAAAGCCCTGACCATAGCAGCCAGAATTTCAGCACAGCTTGATTTTGGACATACTGTATCATCTTTATTACTTCCTATGTGTCTGTATTCCATTTGCTTCAATGTTCCTCACAATGTGAATGGAACTGTATGGAGGATAATTGATTGTCTTTGGGAAAGTACCTGCTGAAGAGAACACAGAGCAGATGGCACATAAATGCATAGAAATACATCTCATTTTTTCTTTATTTAGGCTACCATAAATATACAGGTAATGCTGCACAATTGTATATTGTGTAAGGACTTAAAAAAAAAAACTTGAGCTGGACCCACGTATAACCAGGTAGGTTTTTTTTTTTGTTCAGCCTTTTTTTTACGTCTTTGGAGACAAATACAGATAACCTGGAGATTGTGGTTACTGCTTCTTACATAGTAACAGGGACATAGTAGGGATGAGCTTAAGGTTTGGTCCAAACATAAGTTCGGACTGAACCTTGGATGTGTAGTCTAATGCCTAAACATTTACCCACTCGGCAGGAGCTAAATGTCATGCATAATGGTGGCATTACTTCTGCTATTATGTGTGACTGCTTCCCACTGTCAATGGTTGTTAAAGTATATGTAAACCCTAACCTTAAAATACAACACATTCAGTTTAAAATAGAAATGCAGACAAAACATTTATGTATAAACGTGAAAAAGAAATATAGATATCTATTTTTTAAATAAGTGATCACATGACCTCTGCTCTCAACTGCTGCTTAGAGCGGTGGGGGTGGAGAAACAGCAGTACGCTGATCTTCCCAGTGAATGGAGGTGTGTCAGCACAAGTCTAGGCCACTGGAGGACAGACAGACTGTGCCCCCCGCACAGCCAGAAACCTGACCACGCTGAGATGGATAAGCTTCCTTGCCTAGGTTGTTTTCAAATAGGAAAGCAGGAGGGCTGGTAAGCTCACCAGGTATTTCACACAAAGAAAGAAATGCAAACAGAATAGGATACCTTTTATTATCAGTAAATGGAACAACAGACACAAACAGTATCAGGAATTTGAAATGTAGGGAGTAACATTTTCTTTCAGGACACTGGTGAGTGCAGGCAGCGCTTAGTCCTTTACAACCAGTGATGTCTTCAGCCCCATTCACTTACATCCCCGGCCATGAAAGCAAAGGAGCCAGGGATAGTACAAAAAAAAAGACATGGTCTTCCCTCCTTATTCCTATCAGGCACATTATGTCTAGTATAACTTTTCAGTGGAACTTCGATCAAAAAAAGTGAGGTCCCCACAAAAATCCCCAACAGACCCTTACCTGAGCATGTAGCCTGGCAGGCCAGGAAAGGATGGAAGAAGTATGTGCCCCTTTTTGTATTGTATCTGGCCAGCCACAATAGTAAAGTACCTTGTTCCCTTGTTGATGAGGGCATGGGCTTCTTCCCCACAACCCAGTCCCATTGGTTGTTAGGGCTTATCAGAACCTGTAAGCCTCCTTTCACAATAAATGGGCACCCAGATACTGCCCTCCTGCCTATATGAATGAGTAAGGGGTGCATAGTACCCTTTCTCATTCACAAAAAATGTAAAAGGTAAATAAATACGCTTACACTGCGGAAAAAAAAAAATGTAATGTCCCATGATATACAATTATCATCAATCATATGGTTGAGCAATGTAGATCCATGTTAACTGGGATCGGGAGTCGGGAAGTACATCAGAACTCTCATTTCCCATGCCCTTAATGACAGGTCATATTTACCGTTTAAGCACCTCTTCTGAGTAGTTAATTATAATTTCTGTAATCATTCTACATAACTGAGGTCTTCCAATCCCCTATTTAATTTTAAAGCCCTTTGTTGAACTGAGCTTTTAATTCCAAATCCAATAACATTAATAAACAAGTTATAGAACATTGCCCCAAGGCAGAGACCTGGGGCATCCCATTCACAACCTTGCTCTATTTAGAGAAAGTCCTTTTAGGGGGATGATTATTTGGTACTGATTTTTTTATTCTTTACAAGTACAAACATTAAACCCAACTTTTATGTGTTGCAGAGATGTAAAGCCAGACAACATTCTCCTTGATGAACAAGGTGAGCAAACAAAGCCACGTGCCTAGACTACACATTCTCTAGTGACACTTGAAGGTGTCTCGTTATTGTGTGAATTAGCAGTGTATGTGTTAATGATGTGGTTTTTATGTGCCTTACTAATAGATTTAAGTTGTTCGCAGATAACAACAAAGCAAATCTCTCAATAGTTCCACAATGAATAAAAGGTCACTTCAGAGCATAGCCCAGATCTACTCTAACCATCTTGTTCATTGAGATATTGAACCTCATTTATCAATGTGCTTGAAAGAAGACCATGCATTGATATCCATAGCCAGCCATGTCATAAGGCAGTTGTAGGTGGGTCCATGGGGCAGCCAAAGTTATTTTTTTTGTTCACTTTTCTGTTTGTATTTTTACTTTGGGCTGGTGAATTCTTATGCAGGCCATACATGGCTCAAATTCTGTATGAATTTTATTTAGAAAATCGGACATTTCGTGCATTTTGTAACCCAGTGGTGGCACTATTGATTTCAAAAGTCAACCAACCAAGCCTTTAATTTCAGCTGATGTTGCTACAGAATAGAATTTTCATGGCCAAGAATTTTGTTTCTTTCTAGGTCACAGCTCATGCTCATTGCTTTCATGATTACATTTCTCTCACGATTCTCCCATCATTGATTAGAAATTCGTTAGTTTTTCAAAGCATTTCCAACACGCTAAAATGCTCAAATTCGATGGTCATATAGAAACTGGCCGTTGCTGTGGCCCGCTAATGGTGTAAAATTTGCCCGAAAATTCCTAGAAAAGATTTTCGAAAAATAATTCTTTCAGAATTCGACCTGTGTATGGCCAGCTTTAGTCCCCTTTCACACAAAGGGTCCAATGAGGTCCACCTGTTAGACCATCTGACCAGATCTGCCTGAAAAACTATGTGATCCCCATTGGATCGGTAGCTGTAAAAAGACTTGTATCTGTTTACACCCACCTATCATCCCTGTAACTGCAAGATACTTTTTCTGTTGAAAAAACAACAGATTTATTGGCTGGATCACCAGATGAAAATAAAGGAAAGAAAACCTAAAAAAGGAAACTAGTACAACCACCACATCTAAGAATTGGTAAACTGCAATATAATAAATGTCTGCTTTTGGGTTTAGTACAGCTTTAAATACACCATTGGGAGATGTTTCTTCTGTAACAGAATTATAATTCTATTTCTGTCCATCCAGCCCTAAGATATACACAGCCCTACCAGACAGCTGAGTTAGATCTGACTCTTCTTTACCGCAGTTAGACGAGACAGCCTGCTCACCTCCCTGCCCCTATGATTAGATAATGAAGAAACAGCATCAGCACACTGATTGGAGTCATTCATCACTCCGCTCTGCTCTCTCCTCCTGTCAGAATGTTCCATGCAAGCTCATGTACACTGCAACACAACTGATTGGCTCCTAATGCTGTCCCTCCCCTCTTCCAGCCTGAGTCTGTTGTACATGGGATTAAAGAGGCCAATGCCAAGTCCAGCTGACGTACTTTCGTTAGCAACTTTTATAAAGACTTTTAATATTTTTTCAGTGGAATAATTGTCTATGCAAATGCGTTTGTACTTTGTCATCACTTTTAGGTCCATTGTCTTCTGACTGATGTGGGAGGTTATGAATAGCTAAATGGATGGTTATATAATAAAGGTGTACTTTACTTATTGTCTGAGAACCTGTTCTATCCTGTTCCCCAGGTCATGCTCATCTAACAGACTTCAATGTGGCGACCATAATCAAAGATGGCGAAAGAGCTACCGCATTAGCTGGAACTAAACCATACATGGGTAAGGAAAGACAAACTTTGTATATTCGATGGCCTGAGGTGTCCAGCTCTTGCGTGGAAAAGTCTCCTGTTGGGGTTCTGGTCTGATGCACTGCTGGGTGGAAAATCCTATACTGGAGATCTGCTATAGCAATGAGGGCTGAAATTATTTTAATTGTGCATATGGCACACACCTACTGTACAGGTTTGCATTAGCATTGATTATGTCATAATATTATATTTTAAAATGACTTTAAAAATAAAGAGTAGTCTAAGTACATTACACTCCAGGCAAGACATGCATTTGCATAAAAGTGTAAAATCTTCATTATGGCCTATTCACATCAAAGTTGCTGCCAATTGTCAGCCATGGAGTTTCGATTACTGCTGCATTAACAAGGACTGACGTTGTCCAATTCAAGGCAACACTTCACCGAACCATTTTGCTCAATATACTGTTCACATGTAGCGTTACCTCCGAAAGGGCTGCTAGATTTCAGGCCTATTCCCCCACACAGCACCCACAAACAGACAACAGGAATTTTCCACTTTCTCTCCACAGGCTTAATGAACGGTTTAGCTGTATTTTTATTTTTTTAGAACTTGGATAGGGATTAGGGGTACATGAGATTTCCCAAACTGAAGTAGTATTGCCAAATATTTACAAACAGTTGAGAACCTGCTACAGTCTCTGGTTGCTTCAAACTGAGCTGCACACCAGTGGGAATGAAGACACAGCATGTAAAATGAACAAAAACTCCCAAGAAGTCAAAGTTGTAGACACAGCACCTGGCTGCTCTCGACCCAAGCTAGAGATAATGAGGGGTGCTCCTGGCTGTCTTGCACTGCACTCAAGTTTTCCCATAGTCCCAGACATGTGCAGTATTGCACTATACTGTCTTCACTGTGTTGGGTATGTTGGCTAGCAGGTGCTCACTCAATCCTTTAAATGGCTCCTTCAGTCCAGAGAGCTGCTGCAGGGGCCTTGCTGCAGTACAGGCTGGTTCTGGTTTCGAGTTCCCAGCTAAGCCTAGCTGAAACTATCTCTGAGTGAAGTCCTGGAGCTTTCTTCTCCTCTGTATCTCTCCTGCTGCTCTTTCTCTTCCTTCTGCCCCAGAGGGCAGAGCCCCCCCCCCCAGCATAGGGGGTCCTTTCAGACTGACCCCTGCTGCTCCCCTAGACTTCCAGGCTTCTGAGTATTTATGGGCTGTAACCACCCCTTTTGGGTCCTGCCTCCCCAGGGACTGGTGGAATGTTCAGGTTGCAGCCTCTGTCCCTCGGCCTACTAAATTCTAGAACTATCCAACAAGTTCTACAAGATGGGGGAGGTAACAAGACCACAGCCTGTGAAGCTCTGCACAGTCTTCCTTATCAATTTACCCCTGCTCCTATGGCTGCAGAGAAGCTAAACTAAATTTACCCACTCTAGCAACCTAGGAGGGTGCTACACACCTAACAACATGCACTAAGTTCTACTCCTTTGTGAGGCACAAATGGCCTGGATGGAGAAACCACCTGGCAGGAAGCATTGAACCAGAGTATTTAGGTACATGCGTTAATACTGTATGCTTGTCAGCTATACAACTAGATAAGGGGTGGGCAACCAATCGATTGTGAGCTACCTGTTGACCACTGAAAGGTGAAAGGTAGATCGCGAAGACGACCCCCTGTTGCCAACCCGGTCTTTTTCTTGGAGCTCAAGAGCGGTGCATGCGCATGCTCACCCAATCAAGGCTGCAGAGGCAGTCCCCACCCCTTGCATGCATGTGGCTGCAGGGCGGGGAAAGCCTTCAGAATAGCTTGGGTGGGTTTGGGCTCTTCTCTGAATATGCCTGAGCTCTTCCTCTGTTGTGTGCTCATCACCACCAGCCCTTTTCCCCTGATCCAAGTGATACCATGTGGGAAGGTGAGAGAGGATTGCTGGCAGGGATCAGCACCACTGCACTGTCCCTGCGTCACTCTGCATTACAAAACATGTGTGCCCTCTTAACACTTTAGCCCTCCTGATCCCCCAGTATTACGCTCTCCTTACACCCCAGCCATCCTGATCCCCCCAATACCATACTCTCCTGTCCCCCCAGTGTCATGCCCTCCTGACACCCCAGCCCTCCTAATCCCCCCAATACCATACCCTCCTGATCCCCCAGTACTATGCTCTCTTGAAACCCAAGCCCTCCTGATCCCCTCAATACCATACTCTCCTTACTCCCCAGTGCTATGCCTTCCTGACGACCCAGCCCTCCTGGTCCCACCAATATCATACCCTCCTGATCCCCCGGTACTATGCTCTCCTGACACCCCAGCCCTCCTGATCCCCTCAGTACCATACTCTCCTTACCACCCAGTGCTAGCTGTCTTCCGAAAGTCAAATTTCAAAAAGAAAAGAGTAGAATAAAATAGAATAAAAAAGAATAGAATAGAATAAAAAAATAATATAAAATAAAAGAATAGAATGAAATAGAAAGAATATAGCCATCTTCCAAAATACAAATTTCAAAAACAATGGAATAAAATAGGTTTCACTTAGGATGTGTATCCATTCTTTATGTGTGTGTGTATATATATATATATATATATATATATATATATATATATTTATTTTTTTTATACAATGGAAAATGTATTTTGTTTTTTTTATAAAAAATAGTTCCATTGATTCTATCAGAAAGCTAGTAGTATTTCAACACCGCTTTTCTAATAATATACACCTGCTGTTGATTTTAATTATGTAGTGACTTGCAAAACAGCCCACATGTGAGTAGAGTTTGTTGTATATATGTTTTTAGTTTGTATCTTGCTGTAAACAAGGATCTTTGCCAAAACATGTTAGCATTTTACCTACTCTTGTGCAAGCAATAAAAAAGTTTATATAGATATTGAAGTTATGGGGCCACAGTTTCAGAACAGAATAGAATAGAAGATAAAAGAATAGAAAAGAAAAAAATAGAATAGATTAGAATAGAATAGAAATTTGAATAAAGCTGCCTTCTGAAATTTGAATTTTGAAAAGAATAGAATAAAACAGAATAGAATAGAAAAGAATAGAATAGAAAAGAATGGCATAAAATAGAAAAAAAAAGGAATTGAATTATTATCACCGTCTTCTGTAGTTCGAATTTTGAAAATAATTTAATAAAATAAAACAGAAGAGAATAGAATAGAGTAAAACAGAATAGAAAATAATAGAAAATAAAAGAATATAATACAATAGAATATAAAATAAAAGAATAAAATACAATAGAATAGAATAGAAAACAATAGAAAAGAAAAGAATAGAATAGAAAATAGAATAGATTGGAATAAAATAGAATATAGCTGTCTTCCAAAATTAAAAAAAATAGATTAGAATAAAACATAGACTAGAAAAGAATAGAGTAGAACAGAATAGAATAGAAAATAATAGAATAGAAAGTGGAAGAGTAGAACAGAAAATAATAGAATAGAATAAAATAGAATATAACCATGTTCCGAAATTTGAATTTCAAATAAAATAGAACCAGCTATTTGTCACAATGAAAGGATGTCTAATGTTTGGTTCTTAGGGTGATATCTCCTGGTGTGCCTGCAGGTAGAACATCATTTTTTTTTGGTTCACATTTTCACTAGCACGGACTTGTACATATGAATAGTTCTTACATGATGTTAGGAGCTCACTAGATTTTTTAAAATTGCCCAAACAGCATTTTTCTGTACTTTCAGCAGCGATAGAGCTTGATAAACTGTGTACCTATTGTAGCTACATGTTTTTTTTTTTTTTTTTTGCCCAGAGATGCATTTTTAATGATTTACACAATGGGCAAACAAGTAAACAGAAGGCCAAACAGTAAATTTTCTGCTCTGCTTTTTTATAATTCATGGATATTACAATGAAATACATCAAATGTTGTATTTATTTAGCCAGTAAAAAAAATGCAAGCTTAATATATTTTTCTGCACGTTTTACATAACAGAGGTCACTATAGGGGTGTACAGAGGATGCAATTAGATGAAGTCTATTATAAAATTGTGTATAGATGTCTCTGACCTTGATAAATAGTTCCTGCATAACGAAGCACCGTTGGCTTAGAAAACACTTACTGAAATATTATAATGAGCATCGAATTGTAGCACACTTTACTTTTTACAGCTGAAGCGTACACTGTCAGACTTTGATGTGAATACATAGTATCTTCATTTGGTACGGACTGATGCATTTCTGTGCAAACTCACAACTTCACAGATGGCTAATTTAGATTGCCCATAAAGCTAAATGCCAATTTTAATATTTACATGATAATATTTGGAGATGTCTTTACTTCCTTGGTCCTATTGCAGCCAGTAATGTCCTGTTTAGATCAAGTTACATCTAAAATAGTTTCCACAGGATTTAAGTTTTCATTAGTAGTTAAATGCAGACTTTAAGGCCTGTATTGACAGGCTTTTGTTTGCTTCAGACATTGGTCAGCTCTTGCAGGTCAATGTATAGGCTGGTTTAAGAAGAGTTCATGTTTTTTATTAAAATGGTATCTTCTGGGTCCTAATTTGGTTTAGCCCTCTACATGCCCCATGTATAGGCTGGTGTAGGAAGAGTTCATGTTTTTTATTAAAATGGTATCTTCTGGGTCCTAATTTGGTTTAGCCCTCTACATGCCCCATGTATAGGCTGGTGTAGGAAGAGTTCATGTTTTTTATTAAAATGGTATCTTCTGGGTCCTAATTTGGTTTAGCCCTCTACATGCCCCATGTATAGGCTGGTGTAGGAAGAGTTCATGTTTTTTATTAAAATGGTATCTTCTGGGTCCTAATTTGGTTTAGCCCTCTACATGCCCCATGTATAGGCTGGTGTAGGAAGAGTTCATGTTTTTTATTAAAATGGTATCTTCTGGGTCCTAATTTGGTTTAGCCCTCTACATGCCCCATGTATAGGCTGGTGTAGGAAGAGTTCATGTTTTTTATTAAAATGGTATCTTCTGGGTCCTAATTTGGTTTAGCCCTCTACATGCCCCATGTATAGGCTGGTGTAGGAAGAGTTCATGTTTTTTATTAAAATGGTATCTTCTGGGTCCTTATTTGGTTTAGCCCTCTACATGCCCCATGCTGTTGTGTTATAAGGTAGGTGGAGGTGAGGTGCAGGGGTGACTACTTGAGAAGTTGGATGTAACTGTGCACCATACTGTTCTTCTTTCTCCTTGTGGGCTCCCCATGTTGGGTGAAAATATTTGGATTTGAATACCTGTCATCTAAGTTGTCTAATCTATTCTATTCAATAATATGTATTCTGCAGCCTCTCCTTCTTGTGTACTGGAGTTATGACTGTACTGTTTACCAATATTTGGAAAAGTAAATATTACATTTACTCAACGTTGCGCCATAATACTGTGTGGTCTGAAGATGGAGAGTGAGGGCTTTATTAGGCTGGGCACGGTCGATAAAGGACTATAGGGAGAATGAAGGAGGAACAGGCATCTTCGGATGGGTGGTGGTCAGGTGACAGAAGGTCTTGATGGCCTGCTGTAAATTGGTCCTCAGCTGCAGCAAGAACCAGTAATCACTGATTTTCAGGGTCTTGTGACTAGAGGTATGTCAGCTCCTGTCCTTAGATGCATACAAGGGAGAGTTGGAAGCGCATAGCAAAAGCCGCTGACTTGCAAATATGGCAGGAAAGCTTCAGTTCTATCCTTCTAAGATGCTTCACTCGTCATGGGCTTAATCGTACAGGTCACAACAACGATTAAGCCCATGATGGGTGAAACGCATTAGAGTGCATGGTTCAGGTGGGGATGAAGCTGAAGCCTTCCTGTAACATTTGTAATTGAGTTGCTTTGGTGTGCGCTTCCATCGCTCCCTTGCATGCATCTGAGTATGATGAGCCATGTGGGAGCTGTACCCAAAAGAGACTGAACCTCCGGGTGACTGAAATAGTGGAGCTTGGAATGGTGCTGCATGTTCAGTTAGGGTTCAACTCCTGTCCTTGCTATAGCAAGAAGTATGCTTTTGCCAGTAAGAGCTGGTAGTAGGACTTATGTTCTGCACTTTCCCTCTATGCTAGAGTTGGGTCACTGCTGTGCAGCATGGCTTGAAAAGTACATTATGAATAATAGTGAGGATTCCTTCTGTTTATAAGATCCCTAGCAAGTCACATTAACCTTTGATTGGTAGTGGCACTTACAAATGTAAATGTAAATAAATTCTGAATGATCTCAGAAGCATCTCAAATTGATGTCATTGACCTAAGGCCATAATGTTTTGGTTAAAGGAAACCTATCCTGAGAGACATACAGTCTGTTGGCTGCCATTGGCAAACTCTTTCAGATGTTCTCTAGCTATTTTATTGGTCCAATGGGTTTAGTGATGTTTGCTTTTCTTACCTGAAAGTGCATACTTGTACCAGGTATATGGCACAAATTATTGAAGCCAGAGGCTAAACATGACAGCCAGCAAACTAGCATTTGAAGACTGATAAGTAGCAGTGGCCACCTATCTACCTCAGAAGAGGTTTCCTGTAAGGGTGGAGCTGTTAAAATATTATTGCAGAATTTTAGTGGCTTGAAAACCTTGGTCCTGTCACATACAAATCAATGGGTTTCCATACTGATCATGGTATAGAACCAGGAAGCTTACCTCTGAAACATGTATTTTTGCATTAAAAGATGCTACACATAAATCCAGTAGCAGCTTTGTGTCTACATACTGGTGGAACTTTACAGTGTAAGGAGATTTAATAGGCACCGTTACATGGTAACTGCTGTGCTTCAATAAAGTCAGAAATAGCTCCTAATAGGCCTATTTCATATTGTCCCGAGGTCTTCAGGAACACTGTGAAATATATTAAACTTTGAAAACATTATATGCAGTACTTTGTAGCAGTACACCAAATTAAAGCTATAAATACACTGCTAAAAAAATTAAAGGAACACTTTGAAAACACATTAGATCTCGATGGGGAAAAATCTCATGCTGGATATCTATACTGATATGGACTGGGTAATGTGTTAGGAACGTAAGGATGCCCCATCATTTGATGGAAATTAAAATTATCAACCTACAGAGGACTGAATTCAAAGATACCCCTAAAAGCAAAGTGAAAAAAAATGATGCAGCAGGCTAGTCCATTTTTCTGAAATTTAATTGCAGCAACTCAAAATGGTACTCAGTAGTTTGCAAAGCCTCCACGTGTTTGCATGCATGCCTGACAACATCAGGGCATGCTTCTAATGAGACAACGGCTGGTGTCCTGGGGTATTTCCTCCCAGATCTGGACCAGGGCATCACTAAGCTCCTGGACAGTCTGAGGTGCAACCAGGCGTCGTCGAATGGACCGAAACATGGCATCCCAGAGGTGTTCTATTGGATTTAGGTCAGGTGTGGGAGCCATTCAATGGTATCAATTCCTTCATCCTCCAGGAATTGCCTGCATACTCTTGCCACATGAGGCCGGGCATTGTCATGTACCAGGAGGAACCCAGGACCCACTGCACCAGCGTAGGGTCTGACAATGGGTCCAAGGATTTCATCTCGATACCTAATGGCAGTCAGGATTCCACTGTCTAGCCTGTAGAGGTCTGTGCGTCTCTCCATGGATATGCCTCCCCAGACCATCACTGACCCACTACCAAACCGGTCATGCTGAATGTTACAGGCAGCATAACCTTCTCCACAGCTTCTCCAGACCCTTTCACATCTGTCACATCTTCTCAGTGTGAATTTGCTCTCATCTGTGAAAAGCACAGGGTGCCAGTGGCAGACCTGCCAATTCTGGTGTTCAATGACAAATCTCATTCGAGCTCTATGGTGCCAGGCAGTGAGCACAGGGCCAACTAGAGGATGTCGGGCCCTTAGGCCACCCTCATGAAGTCTGTTTCTGATTGTTTGGTCAGAGACATTCACACCAGTGGCCTGCTGGAGGTCATTTTGTAGGGCTCTGGCAGTACTCATCCTGCTCCTCCTTGCACAAAGGAGCAGATACCGGTCCTGCTGATGGGCTAAGGACCTTCTACTGCCCTGTCCAGCTCTCCTAGAGTAACTAACTGTCTCCTGGAATCTCCTTCATGCTCTAGAAACTGTGCTGGGAGACATAGCAAACCTGCTGGCAATGGCACATATTGATGTGCCATCCTGGAGGAGTTGGACTGCCTGTGCAATCTCTGTAGTGTCCAAATATTGCCTCATGCTACCAGTAGTGACACTGACCCTAGCCAAATGCAAAACTAGTGAAAAACAGTCAGAAAAAAGATGAGTAGGGAAAAAAATGTCATCTGGAAAACCATTCCTGTTTTGGGGGTTGTCTCATTGTTGCCCATCTAGTGTACCTGTTGTTAATTTCATTAACACCAAAGCAGCTGAAACTGATTAACAACCCCCTCTGCTACTTAACTGCCCAGATTAATATCCCAGGAGTTTCATTGACTTGATGCTATACTCTGATTAAAAAGTGTCCCTTTAACCACTTTTGAGCAGTGTATATACGTTTTTGAAAATGTTGTCATTATTTATCCTTTCCAAGTATGATGGACATAATATTTCTGTCCAGATACGTTAACAGCTGCAGTCCTAGTAAAGGCTTTTAAATATACTGTATATATAAATATCATGACTAGCTTGTGTATATGGTGCATTGTTTTTTTTTTTTAAATTGAATGCTGTATGTACACTCTCTAACCTTTGTATTTTAACCGCAGCTCCAGAAATTTTTCAGTCTTTTGTTAATGGTGGAACTGGCTATTCGTTTGAGGTGGACTGGTGGTCATTAGGAATAATGTCATTTGAGTTACTCCGAAGCTGGGTAAGACTTAACTTTACAGTTCATTAACATTATATGTGTGGTTACCTAAAGCTGGTCTTATATGGGTCTTTTTTTTTTATTCAACCAGCTGGTTTAAGGAAAACACTGACCTGATTCCTCATCCCCACACTTGATGTGGATGCGGGAATCCTCTCTGTTGTGTCATTGTATTCTGACAGTGGTAAAACTCTGCCACCATCAGAATGCACAGATCAGCGCTGCAGTCAATAGCCAGCATTGAAAGAGCAAAAAAATACCAACAAGGCAGTTGAACTGAAATTGACTGGAGAAATAGCATCCCTTACCCTCCCCCTCTACTGGCCCTTCCTCTCTCTTTTCCTTTTGCCTTCTTTTCTTACTTTCTTTCTCTTGGGGCCACTCATTGACTTACAATAACCTGGCAAGAAACAAAAGCAGGGTATACGCATGGAGGTTGATTTACTAAAACTGGAGAGTGCAAAATCTGATGCAGTTTTGCCTAGAAACCAATCAGCCTCCATTTTTTTTCCAAAGCTTAATTGAACAAGCTGAAGTTAGAAGCTGATTGGCTACCATGCACAACTGCACCAGATTTTGCACTCTCCAGTTTTAGCAAATCAACCCCATTGAGTTTTTTTTTTCGTTCAACTAGCGAGCAGATCCCTGCATCTACAAAAGCCATGTGGATGCAGGGATCTCCCCCACTGTTCTATTGTATTCTGAAAGTGCCCCCCCTCATGCCAGAATACACAGATCTATTGGCTGCAAGTGCTGATCGCATGCTGGTTTTCCAGCATGACCGTTCAACAGAAGCCAGCTATTATACTGGCTTCTTTTGAACAGACAGTGGTACACAGGGACCAAAATTTGGTCGGCTAAAAATTGAACTTTTTTTTTTTTGTTTAGCCAGCGGGTTGAATGAAAAACAACAAATGGTTTCCTCCATTCACACAATCAAGGTAGAGGAATCCTCCCACTGAAAAACAACAAATGGTTTCCTCCATTCACACAATCAAGGTAGTAGAGGAATCCTCCCACTGAAACATTGTATTCTGATCAGAGGCTGCAGCCCCTTGGCTTCAGCTGCTGGTCAAGAACGTTTTTCCAACAAGCCCGTTCAACAGAAGCTGATTGTTAGATCAACTTCTGTCAAGCAGTTGTGGCCCACACATTCATCCAAGTTTAGCTTGTCCTTGCTGAACCAAATTTTGATCCATCTAAGGCCAGCATAATTCTGTACAACCAGTATCCACTGATCGTGGAATTGGTATTACAAGCCCAATTTCACCTATAAGTTACCTTTGATCCAAGACTTCCCATAACATAAGCTTGTACTTAGGTGGAGATAGGTCTGTTACCTTCTTGAACTTATCAGTATTACACTGTTGCATTTTCTTTATTCTTTCCTAATCACAATAGCCACACATTTGAGAGGTAGACTGCTTTTGAGAGATAGACTGAGGCTTTCCACGAGACTATGGCGAGCAGCTATAGTCAACCCTCCCTGTGAACTCAGAATCTGCATCAGCACAAATCCAAATTATTAATCCCCTTAAGAGTTCTAGCACTGCCTCGCACATTTTCTTTCGCAATATGCGCAGTTTCAGGCTAATGAAAGTCAGGGCCTTATTAATGACCTCTATGTGATTAAAAAATACCATCAAACATTCATAATATTCTCTTTTTTCATAGCGCCCGTATGACATCCATTCAAACAGTTCAGTGGAATCCCTGGTCCAGTTATTTAGCACAGTCACTGTCCAGTACGCTTCAGTCTGGTCGAAGGACATGATTGCACTCTTACGGAAGGTACATTTTTTTTCTATTTTTATTCTAAAGGATTCAGATTATAATGGTTGTAAATAAATATCCCACATATAGTTTGTATTTAGGAATTGGTCAAAATACTTCATAACCACTGTGAAAATTAAATCAGCAGCTTTAATGTTTGGTTGGAGTTTAGGGAAAAAGGGAGCCAAACGTCAAAACATAGACTTAGAGTCTAAGGGTTCATTCACACTTTGTATCACCTCCTCACTGTCTGCTTTAATCCCTTGAACCCTACTCTAACCCACCGCAACCTCATGCATTGCACATGATTGCACAGCAAGCACATTCACTTGAATGCACTTGAATGCAAGCGACAGAGAATATTAACCACTTGACCTCTGAATGATTTACCCCTCTTCATGACCAGGCCATTTTTTGCGCCATGGCGCTACGTTACCTTAACTGACAATTGTGCGGTCATGCAACACTGTACATAAATTAAATTTATGTCATTTTTCCCCACAAATAGAGCTATTAGAGGTATTTTTTTTGCGCTATAAATTAAAAAAAACACCGACATTAAAAAAAACACCATATTTTTTTACTTTCTGCTATAAAACATATCCAATAAAATATTTAAAAAAAATCTGTATTCTTCATACATTTACACCAAAATGTATTCTGCTGCATTTTCTTGGTAAAAAAAATCCCAGTGAGTGTATATCGATTGGTTTGCGCAAAAGTTGTAGTGTCTACAAGTGGCTGTATATATACTGTAATTTTTTTTTATACTGGTAATAGCGTCGTTCAGCGACTTATAGTGGGATTGCGATATTATGGTGAACAGTCTGACACTTTGTGAGAACCAATGACACTAATACAGTGATCAGTGCTAAAAAAAATACTGTTTCTCTGTATTAATGACACCGGCTGGGAAGAGGTTAAACATCTAGGGTGATTAAAGGGTTAACTGTGTGCCTAGCCTGTGTTTCTGTGTTTACTATGTGCTGTTTTTACTAGGCAATCTGCTACATTTTATTCCCTGAATAAAATCTAGCAGATTGTTGTTGACATAAACACAGCTCTGCCTTGTTTTCATAGACAGATCTGTGTTATGTTAGTCTCCTTGGCAATCAACAGGTGCCGGCACCCCCCTAGTGGCGGAAGTGCAAAATCATGTTTATATACTTCATTTTGCACAGAACATCCGCACTGTAGCAGTAAATCTGCTATAGGTCAGATGGCAAGAGGTTAATTATACCCCCTGTTGCTTTTGGCGGGCACAACTACATTCAAGTGAATGTATATGCCTGTGGTCGCTGCCTCTCCTGATAAAGGGGAAGCTGTTGGGGGGGTGAAAAAATGTAGCTTAATTGTGGGGTTTTACTGCACCCGAATCGCTAGTGTGAACAAGTCCATAGTGTATTTATTTAACCACAAAAATCCATAAGGATAGGACAACACATTTTGGGATGCTTAAGGACTCTTTTATCAGAGCTTTAAATGATGAATGGGAAAGTTGTATTAAGACTCCAAAGTGTTGAAGTAATTTTTTGTATTGGCCAAAACACTCCAGCAGCAATTTTTTTGCAGCCTGGAAACTCATAACTATATAGGCAGAAGATGATTTATCCACCATACTTCCTACAGAACCCATAAAGAAGTTAGCCTAATGCGATATTTTCTACAATCTACAAAACTGTAACCTTCCCTATATCCGCAGTAGAATCCTCATCCTATTTCTGATTCAGAATATTGTACTATTTTTAAAAATGCTCTCTTAGTATCTAGATTAGGGTGGAAAGTGTAAGAGGGAGGAAACAGCTTTCGTGGATGTTCTGTCTATGCAACCTTTGATATTTCACAAAGCCCAAACGTTCTGGGGGTCTATCAAATGATGTCCAAGGGGCCAGCTCTACTCCTTCCCTTATTGTTGATTGCTAAGAACTATCTCTGTATAGTAAATCACAACAAGAAATATTATAGATCCTTCCTTGGTTCAGTTGGATTGGTGCATGAGTTCTTAACAAAGGAGGGGTTTTGAAAAACAAATGAGGAAGACTTAGGACAAAAACAGTTGTTCAGCCACAGCTCAAGGAACCCCTAGACTAGAAATGATTATCAATATGTAGGTGCAAGGAAAATGAATATGTTGATTTGTTGACTTGTTGACTGCCTTAACAAGTACTCATCTTCATGAAACAGGATTCTTTGCTTTTTGAAACTGCAGTCAAAGTGGCGACTAATTGTACCATGATTCCATGTTTTGATCGCACATAACTATGGAAACATTTCACTATTTGTAGCTAGCTTATGTTTTTGTGATTTGCAATTTTATATAAATAAAATCCCAAATTTTCTTCAACTGTTCTATTCTTAGCTGCCCATCTGTTCTATTCTGAGCTACCCAACAGTCATACTAGTACCTAAAGGAAAAATGATGATGATGATGATGGTGATTTCAGCTGTGTGGCAAAGGAGTTATGGGGCCATACTGGGCAACAAGTTGGGAGTGTGGAATTGTATAATGGTTTAGAATCCCTAGGTTACTTAGTGGACAACCAGTCAAAGATGCCAAGCAGTATGAATTTACTAGAGGTCCCCAGTATGCTTGTGGATCACATAGATAGTTCAGACAGAACAGCACCCTGATAAAAGACAACTTGGCAAATGGTTGGGCACTGTAACCAAAACATTATCATTGGCTCCTGGCATTTCTTAAGCTATGGGCCTATATTTTAATTAGTTCATGCGTCTGATTACTCACTATAACAATTGCAACTTCAAATTATTTAAATGCGTGTTTAGATAGAAGTGAGGTTGATTTACTAAGGCCAACAGGCTGTCCACTTTGCAAGGGAAGTTCCACTTTGCATGGGAATTTTCCCAAGAGCTTATTAAAGGAGGTAAAGCTCTGCTGACTTGTATCATCCAATCATGTGTGAGCAAAAAATTATTTTTTTTTTTTATTTTCCTTATTATTAGGTAATCTTTGCAAAGCAAAAATGTACCATATTCACACATTTCCTGCTCTGAGGAAAATTTCCTTGCAAAGTTAACAGCCTAGTTGCCTTTAGTAAATCAACACCAGCAGGGATGGCCACACACAGATTAAAACTCAACCCTGCTTAATATAGGTTTGTATGGCCAGCTTAAGCTTTGTGACCTCTCCATCGTATAGTGAAGCCCTGAAGCAATTAATTCTTGTTTATTGAGATTTCCAGTTTCTAGTTTGTGGATTGCAGATAGCGAAATGTATCTGCTGAGGCAATTGTTTTAATAAAGACGTCAAATGTTCAACAGAATACTGCTGTAGTTCTATATTTGTACCTTTTTAGAATGCATGGAAAGTGTTTTATTCCTGTAGAAATAATGATACATTTAATATACAGTATATATATTTGTATAGGGTAGATGACAGGTATGACGCTGTGTTTGACCTGGTTTACTTTATATTGCTTTGGATGCTGCAGGTCTTATCTAAATGCATTTGCATTGCAGGCAAAGCAGCCAAATGCAGCCTGTTGCTGCCATTTGTATTTAATAGCCAAAGAACCGTCAAAAAAATAGCACCCGTCTGAATGAGCCCTAAGTATTCACATTTGTGTACTGTATGAATGTGCGCAAAATCACAACATTTTGCATGTGTTCACAAATTCACAAAAGACACATGATGCGCTTGTGTTGCCATTCATTGTTAATGGCACCCAAAACGTGGCAAGGAAGACATGTGGGTTTGCGTACAGAAAAAACAAGCAAAGCTCAAAACGCAAAAAGATTATTGAGCTACTTTGCTGTGTTTGTTGCATTCAAAGCAGCCCATTGAAATTAACAGGCTTCTCTCTCCACAATGCACTGCAAGAGTGTGAGTGATACAGCGCGTAAATTTGAACTCTGTGGAGTCTGTTTATAAAACTTTCATTGAATGAATGTCACACACACTCCTGCATACCCAACAAATTTTGGCCGTAGTTGTCAAAATGTGGTATAGTTTTCTGACATACCACATTTTGACCACTATATGGAGCTAACGATCAAAGGAATTGCTTAGGTACCATCAGGTCTTTTTTTGAGCAGGAACGTGGGGGAACCTCCAGCACTGGATGTATGTAATAGCAAGGGGTGCTGGGGTGTGCTGGAGAATCTGATGATGCTGGCTGCTGAGGGATCTATTGCTGCTGGAGAAGATTTATTTTTGCGGAGGGGTCTGTTGTTGCCGGTGGGAGATATATTGTTGCTGGGGATAGGTTTTATGCTGCTGAGTGGTCAGTTGTTGCTGGGAGGGATATATTGTTGCTGGAGAGGTATTTTGTTGTGGGGGGGTCCATTGTTGGTGTTAAGGTCTACTGTTGCTGGGGGGGTCTGTTGTCACTGGCTGTTTTACTGTTTTTCTTTCTATCATTACCAAATTCCCAAAAAAATAGCACCACAAAATGATACCTGGGTCTGTATTCTAGAACAGGGGCAGTAATAGGAGGTGGGTTGGGGGCTGAACCAAGGAACGGTGCTTGGTGTTGGGTAGGGGGTGGAGACAAGAGGTGACTTGGAAGGGGGGGAGTTCCGGCACCTATTCTCTGCAGAAGAAAAAAAGCCCTAGATACCAGCATACTTATTTCATAAGAACTTTGATTTCATAAGAATGCAAAGTACACTGTCTATATCCATAGTGTTGAAGTGTTGTATCCAGCCAAATTTTGGTTACTGAGGCCAAATGATAAAGAGATGTGTACTGATCAGCTGTGATGGGCTTCTCTGTTCCGCACAATATAGGCAATATACTTTTCACTATTTTCTTAAGCTTACCCACACTCCTCTGCTTGTACAATCCCTTTTAGATCTGCCAACAATTATGTAGTGCAAGGGCCTGCCTGCCTGGATACAAATTGGATAGATTAGATAGGCCCTCATATTACATCATTTTAGTAGATTGTATGGTCAGCTTGTAATGAATGTGGTGACCCTTATGATGGCCACGTATGCTTCAAATTACCCGATTGAGATGTGCGATTTAATCAAAATTATTGAATCTGCAAACAGTT